GGGGTGGCGGCCGTGCGGCCCTGGGGTGGTGCACGGCGGCGTTCTCGTGTGGGGGTCAGTCGGCAATGCAGCACTGCTGTGTTCCTTCACTTCATACTTTGTTGCTTGTGGCAGACTCCTAACGACGTAACTTTATTTCAAGATGAAAGCATGTATCAAATCACCTGTGCACATCAGAAAGTATCTCATCCCAGGGAGCCACCCAGCATCCCAGGCTGTAAGCGAGACGTCTGCACCCTCGCAGGCCCATCTCTCTATCCATCATATACTTTAAAAATGATTGTGCGGTGCCTACTGCATGATAAAAACGGTTCTGGGTGCACCTTGGGGACTCAGGTGAGAAAGAGGAGCTACGCTTTGCAGACAACCCTGTAGAAGGTTTGACTATAATGATACCAGAAGGATAAGGCAATAGCTAGAGCGGTACCTGGTGTTGGGAGGTTAGCTTTCACAGGGGAGAAGAGGAAATTGGAAGAGGCTTGGTGATGGGAATAAGCCAGTCTAAAGGAGGAGATAGATGAGAAGAGAAAATAGAACAAGGCCCCTGAGAAGATGGATGGCAAGTACTTCAGGAGGGATACCGTCTTCACTGTGATTGGAAGGAATAAAGAAAGGGGTAAAGCATGGATACAGATAGGCAGGTGTTTCTGGCAAGGAAGGGAAAGAGTGTCTTTCAAATGGTGTCTGTTTTCCTTTAAGTGGAGCCTAGTTACCTGCTGAAGGGCCAAAGAAAAGTGGCAGGTGTTTTTAAAAGCTACTAAGGCTGGGCCAGCCTGGCTCAGCAGTTGAGCATCCCCTGTGATTGAGGAGATCGAGGTTCAATTCCCAGTCAGGGCACATGCCCCGGTTGTGGGTTCGATCCCCAGCACAGGGCATGCAGGAGGCAGCTAATCAATGACTCTCATCATTGATGTTTCTATCTCTCCCTCTCCCTGTCTCTCTGAAATCAATAAAAACATATTTTTTAAAAAAAAAAAAGCTACTAAGGATAACTTGAGAGAATTGACTGAGAAAGCAACATTGCAAGATTTAAGGCCCATCCACTTAGAGACCATTGTCTGAGCCTGTGTGACCTTCCCACCACAGTGGCTGGCCTCACCCAGCCTTCACCCAAACATACCGTCAATCCTTTGCTAATAATGGCTTCTTTGTCAAGAATGACTTTTATTTAGGGAGATTTAGGGATCTCCCTTTCTGAGCTTGCTCACCATGAGATGGAAGTCCAAGAAACCTAGAGGCAAAGATTTATGAAAGCGTTTTACATACTGTTACTATCAAATGCACTGCCCAAACTACCCTTACCTACAGATATTGCCCACACAGCGTTCATCCCTCTGGCTTTAGAAGGACCTTCCAGGCCACCCCCCTTCCAGCTTAATTCTTGAGGACAGGAGGTTAGAAGTAACTGGGATTGCCTGAGGCGTTATAACATTGTTTTCCATCTCTACCCAGCTACACTTTGAATAAAAGGAGAGGTGTTCTAAGCTTTTTTATTACTTTCACTATGTCGAAACTGTGGACCCATTAGTTTCATATAAGTTAAAAACACACTGTGAGCCAGCAATTTCACTTACAGATATTGATCCAAGAAAGATAAAAGCATATATCCACAAAAAGACTTGCACAAAGCTGTTTATAGCAGCTTTATTCATGATCACCAAAACCTACAAGCAGCCCTGATGTCCATCAGTAGAGAATGCATAAATAAACGGATATACTCATTCAGTGGAATATTACTCAGTAATTTTTTTAAAACAGGAAGAAGCCTGGCCGGGCGTGGCTCAGCGGTTGAGCGTAGATGTAGGATCCAGGAGATGGTGGTTCAATTCCCGGTCAGGGCACATGCCCGGGTTGCGGGCTCCATCCCCAGTCAGGGACATGCAGGAGGCAGCCGATCAATGACGACTCTCTTATCATTGATGTTTCTATCTCTCCTCCCTTCCTCTCTCTGAAATCAACAAAGACATATTAAAAAAATAAAAGAAAAAGAAAACAACATGGATGAATCTCAAAAACTTAGGCTGAATCAGACTGTCTGGAATTGGGGGCCCTAGTATCTATCTAATTTTAACAACCTTCCCGTGTTATTACTGCACAGACAGCCTGACACTATGCAAACCTCTCAAGAACACATATAATCTAACTTCCTGTTTCAGAGATGAGGCAAATGACTGAGGCTTTTGAAGGGGTTTCCAAAATTCACAGCACTAGTTCTTTTTTTTTTCCCCCAATACGTTTTTATTGATTTTTTAGAGAGAGGAACATCTAACTGCTGCCTCCTGCACCACCACCACCCCCCTATTGGGGATCGAGCTGCAACCTTGGCATGTTCCCTGACCGGGAATTGAACCAGCAACCTCTTGGTGCATGGGATGACTGTCAGCCAACTGAGCCACATGGGCCAGGGCACGGCACTAGTTCTTCCAATTCTGGAGCCTTCCAGTCACATGCAGGTGACTGTTTTTTCTCTTTACCACAGCATGTAGTAGAGGGCCTTATATATTACGTAAACTACTACTGTTGTCACCAGAACTATAATGAGTATGAGAACTCAGTATCCCAAATAATAACATTGATGATATTCTAAATATTCAGGAAACAATTACAAGTAAGAGTTACAAATTGCTATTTAGAAGTAATTGTAGCATTTGATGCCTTTGTTACAAAAAAGAATAACAACCTGAACAACCAGGAGCTGGCCTGGAACTATTAGGTAGGCCCTGGTGTCATTGGCATTCTCAGATAGGTCTATATGTTCAGCTGAACATAATTTCATAAAACATCAACATCAGACACGGCCACTCTGTGGCCGTAATAGACATGACAGAAATAAGACCCCTTCATAATCATGTCTAACCACAGCAAATACAGTAACATTCTCCAAAACACCGAAGTGACCAAACATTCTGGCTAATATAAAGTCACTTCTATTTCTTTTTTTTTTTTTTATTTTAGAGAGGGAGGAAGGCAGAGAGAAAAGCATCGATTTGTTGTTCCACTTATTTACGCATTGATTGGTTGGTTGCTGTATGTGCCCTGACCAGGGACAGAACCTGCAACCCTGGTATATTGGGACGACGCTCTA